GTTCCTAGTAGCTATGCAGGCTCCGCGATCGATCAGTATGGATATTATTTCCGGATATTGACCAGCCAAGAACAGCGGTGACCTTCCATCCTCATTCAGAGCTTCAATGTCTGCACCATTGTTCAAGAGGTAGGTCAATACTTCAATTTGTCCATGCTGTGACGATCTATGCAGCAATGTGCTCATATAGTATCGTCTCTTTTCTTTGTCATTGATGATGCCTAGTGCACTTTCAATCAGCGCAACTTGTCCGGCTTCTACAGCCAAATGTAGCAGCCACAAAGTTGTATCTCCTGATTCCCCAATAATTGCTCCTGCATCTTTCAGCTGGTATACTATATCGACATGACCTTTCGATATGGCCAACTCAATTGGTAATTTTTGTTTTTCATTTCGAGCATCAACATTAGCATTATGAGCAATCAAAGCAGCCACAATATCAAAATGATTATACTCTGCAGCGAGATGGAGCGCAGTATCACCATACTTTGTTTTAGCTTCAATATTCGCTTTGTTTTGTAGCAGTAACTCGAGAATGGCAAAATGGCCATCTCTAGCTGAGAAGTGTAAAGCAGTTAATGAGTCGTTATCAACGGCATGTATGCTTGCATTTCTTTTGATCAATAGAGAAACCATATCCTGCTGGGCGGCAGTTACAGCGATCATTAACGGCGTTTGACCATTGGTGGTCCTAGCGTCGATATTAGCGTCAAGGTCCAAGAGAAGGGTTGCCATTTCTGTATCTCCATTTTCCGACAATTCGGCAAGAAGGGGGTTTCCGTCTTTGGACTTTTCGTCTAAATTTGCACCGTTGTCAGATAGTTCAAATACTGTACCTATGTGTCTATATCTGACCGCCAATTGAAGTGCAGTATTAAAGTCATCATCGTACAAGTCGACAGAAGCTCGATAATGGAGCAGCGTACCTACGACTTCCATATCTCCCTTCTCTGAAGCCAGGTGAAGTGCAGTTCTTAAGCGTTCGTTTTGTCCGTCAACAGCCGCGCCATGGTTAATTAGCAGGTCTACTGTATCACAATGTCCATTCATTACAGCCCCATAAAGTGGAGTATTTGAATACTGATCTTTTGCATCGATAGTACACTGCCGGTTGATCAGCAGACCTACTACATTTTTATAGCCTTTCTTTGCAGCCAAGTGAAGTGCAGTTTGTGAGAATGCATTTTGTGCGTCAACAGCCACGCCATGGTTGATCAACAAGTCTACAATTTCATGATGTCCATTCTCTGCAGCCTTATGTAATGCAGACTCTGGAAAGCTATCTTTTGAACCAACGGTAGCTTGATAGTGAATTAGCAAGCCTACTACTTCTGTGTGACCTTTCTCTGCAGCCAAGTGAAGTGCAGTATCCAATCCTCTATTTTGTAAGTCAACAGCCGCGCCATGGTTGATTAGCAGCTCTACTATATCACAATGTCCGTTCGTTGCAGCCCCATGAAGTGGAGTATTTGCAAGGTTATCTTTTACATCAACAGTGGACTGATGTTTGATTAGCAGGTGTACTACTTCCTTGTGGCCTCTCTTTGCAGCCAAGTGAAGTGCAGTTTGTGAGGATGCATTTGGTGCGTCAACAGCCACGCCATGGTTGATTAGCAGGTCTACTATTTCATGATGTCCATTCTTTGCTGCCTTATGAAATGCAGACTCTGAAAAGCTAGTTTGTAAATCAACACTAGCGTGACAGTGAAGCAGCAGGCCGACTACTTCTTTATGGCCTTTCTCTGCAGCCAAGTGAAGTGCAGTTTCCGACATCCTATTTTGCAAGTCAACAGCCGCGCCACGCTTGATTAGCAGGTCTAATGTTTTATGGTGTCCCTTCTCTGCAGCAAAGTGAAGTGGAGTACTTAAGAACCTATTTCTTCCGTCAACAGCTGCGCCATAATTTACCAGCAGGTCTACTATATCATAATGCCCATTCCTTGCAGCCTTATGAAGTGGGGTATCTGTATAGTTATCTCTTACATCAACAGCGGCCTGATGGTGGAGCAGCAAGCCTATTACTTCTTTATGACCTCTCTCTACAGCCAAGTGAAGTACAGTTTGTCCGTTGTAATTGTGAGCGTCAACAGCCGCGCCGTGTTTGATCAGCAAGTCTACTATTTCACGATGTCCATTCATAGCAGCTATATCGAGTGCAGTTTCGGAGTCTAAACCTGCTAAACCAATATTAGCTCGGTGGTGGAGGAGCAAGCTAACTATTCCACTATGTCCTTTCTCTGTAGCCAAGTGAAGTGCAGTATATGAAGCTTCATTTACTTCGTCAACAGACCCGCCATGGTTGAGCAACAAGTCTACTACTTCTTTATATCCTTTCTCTGCAGCCAGGTGAAGTGCAGTATATGAAAATGTATTTTT